GATGAGAAATTAGAACATTTGCTTGTAGAAACGATGTGAAAACGAATTAAAATGCTTAAATAAATAAATGTTTAATTTCTCAAAAACAACGCGAGTACAAATGTCTTTTTGCCTTTCCGATTAAAACAAAACCTTCAACTTCAAAGAGGTGCAAACTTAAACTTAACCGCTGCAACTTTGTCCCGTACACTGGTTCTGGTATTTATGCTCAACTACCTGTTTCATTCCTCAAAATGTTTTACTGTAGCTATGTGGGCATCCACAGCCAGAGTCAAAAACAATTCTCTGTTTGTTTTAAGCTATTCCTCCTCAATAGCTGATGTAAACAGTATGCACACTGACCTTATGCTCATCTTAACTTTCTCACACAACTACACAAACGCACACATGTGCAAAGTCAACATTGAGCTGACTGTTGTTTCATCTGCACAAGCACATCTGAACACATGGAGCAGCACACAAGCAAAAACAAATGTCCAAACATACGTCATGCCTGAACTTTCATTAATTGAATTTGCTGTCAGCATGAACATCATCTGTTGACACAGGCCTTCGCCAAGTTTATCTACGTCCCCGCTCGCTGCGCTTCTCTCAACCTGTTCCACTTTTTCTCACGTTAAATCCTCTTAATCCTCTCTCACATTCACTTAATGCTTCGAGCCTCAGTTTCTGCCTGAAATAGAGAAGTCCCATCAAAAGTCTGAAAGAAGTCTCAGAAAAAAGACCAGGGTATAATAACTGCTTTGAATAAAAAGATCTTGCCAGTTTTAGTTTAGCTTTTTTAATTATTGTGTATATTATTTTAATTGAGGAAAAATCTCCTGCACACTGTCCAACTTGCAATCAGTGATTTATTTCAGCTATTTTGTCTCATTAAACAAAATTTAAGCAAAATATATTGGCAATTCTGCTAAAAAATATATAAATAAACAGCCTTGTCTGAAAACCTTATTTAGATGATCACTAGTTACAATGTGTTTTAAACTGTTAAATAAATGACAGAATAAAGAGAAAATGAAAAATACACATCAAATTGTACTTTTCATGGGTACATGTGTATTGTTGTACATGCTCTCACTCAAGCACACACTTGTCCGCTGCCCTCTTTACTCAAGTCTAAATCAAGATGCTCCACTGCCCAGGGACAAGAAGCTCTAAGCCACATAAGCATCTCAACAGAAAAAAACAATGCACAATTACCTGGTATGTTCCGATGCCTATGTGTTTAGGATCAATCTTCACAAGCTCAGCTAGTGGATCTTGGACACGTCTTCCAATGGACACTGTTGACAAACACACAGACAGAGAGAAGAAGAAGGGATTAGATTTTGTCTCAAGAGATTCTATATTTTGTGTCTTGATGAACTAAGTATCTGAATCTGAGATATTGAACATGCAAATCTATAATATTTATAATGACCAAATATGTAAATTGTCATGCAAATTATCAGGCTGGCCTGAGGGGAGGACAAACCTAATTGTCAC